ATTATATACTAAATTTATTAAAATCTTTGATGATATAGCAAGTAAGTTATTTAATTACTAATTATCATTTATTTAAGTATAATTTATAAAATATACTAAATTTATTATAATCAAAATTATTCAATAATTGATGATATAGAACGTAAGTTAATTATGAATTATCATTTATTTATGTATAATTATAAATATACTAAATTTATTATTTAAATTATTTTGATAATATAGAAGGTAAGTTATATGATTACTAATTATTATTTATTTAAATATAATTTATAAAATATACTAAATTTTGTATTTAAAATTATTAATATTTGATGATATAGTCAGTAAGTTATTTAGTTACTTATTATCAATTATTTATATATAATTTATAATATATACTAAATTAGATTTATAATTATTTAATAAAATAGCTTGTAAGTTTAATGATTTCTAAATATTATTTATTACGTATAATTCATAATATATACTAATTAGTATTTAAAATTATTTAATAATATAGCTTGTAAGTTATTTAATTACTAAATATTATTTAATTAAGTTTAATTATAAAATATACTAAATTTTGAATTTAAAATTATTTAATGATATAGCCAGTAAGTTGTTTGATTACTAAATACTGTTTATTTAAATATTATTTATAAAATATACTAAATTTAATATTTAATATTAATCAATGATATAGCCCATAAGTTATTTGATTACTAAACATTGTTTGATTAAATATAATTCATAAAATATACTAAATTTAATAATGAAAATTATTTAATATTAATGAATATTTAATAATATAGAGTGTAAGTTATTTGATTACTAGTTATCATTATTTATAAACTTTAATAAATTTAATATAATTATCATTATTCTATATTTAATATAGATGGTAAGTTAATTGATAATTTATTATGTATAATTTATAAAGTTTTATAAATTGTTTATAATTAATATTATTTAATATTTGATGATAGGTTGTAAGTTATTTGATTACTAATATTTGTTTATTTTTAATGTATAATTATATACTAAATTTATTTAAAATCTTTAATAATATAGCAAGTAAGTTATTTTATTACTAATTATTATATTTTTAAGTATAATTTATAAAATATACTAAATTCATTATAATTGAAATTATTCAATATTTGATGTAGAACGTAAGTTATTTAATTACTAATTATCATTTATTTATGTATGATTATAAATATATTAAATTATTATTTAAATTATTTTGATAGGAGGTAAGTTATTGATTACTAATTATTATTTATTTATATATATATTTACTTAGTAATTATATTTAATGTTTAATGATATAGCTGGTAAGTTATTTTATTAATTATCATTTAATTAATTATAATTTATAAATATATTAAATTTAAAATTAAAATTATTATATTTAATGATATAGCAAGTAAGTTATTTAATTACTAATTCTTATATAATTTATAATATATATTAAATTTAATATTTAATATTTTATGATATAGCTTGTAAGTTATTTGATCACTAGTTATTATTATTTATATTTTATATATAAAAATACACTAAATTTTATATTTAAATTATTTAATATTTGATGATATAGTTAGTAAGTTATTTGATTATTCATTATCATTAATTTATTTATATAATATATTAAATTTAATATAAACTTATTTAATATTAGATGATATAGCCAGTAAGTTTATTTTATTACTAATTAATATTTTATGTATAATTATAAATATTTTAAATTTATTATTTAAAATTATTTATTGTTTAAAGATATAGAAGGTAATTTAATTGATTACTGTTATTTGATTATTAATTGTTATTATATTTTTAATAAAATATATTAAATTTAATATACAATATTTAATGATATAGCCAGTAAGTTATTTGATTACTAATTATCATTTTTTATATATAATTATAAAATACATTATAATTATTTAATTACTAATTATTATTTATTTATAAAATATACAAAATTTATTATAATTAATATTATTCAAAATTAGATTATACAGCCAGTAAGTTTTTTCATTACTAGTTATTGTTTATTTGAATATAATTTATAAATAAACTGAATTTATTATATTAAATTTTTTTAATGTTTGATATAAGAACGTAAGTTATTTGATTATTAATTATTGTTTATTTATAAATAATTTTTAATTTAATTTAAATTTATTATATTATTCAATATTTAATGATATAGGAGGTAAGTTATTTATTACCTTATCAATTGTCATTTGTTTAAGTATAATTTATAAAATATACTAATTTATTATAATTAAAATATGATTGATAATATAGTTTGTAAGTTATTTAATTATTAAAATTGTTTATTTATATATTTTTTATAAAATATATTTATTAATTTATTATAATTAATATTATTTAATATAGTCAGTAAGTTATTTGATTGCTTGTAATCATTTTTTATATATTACATATAAAATTAAATAAATTTAATATTAAATTATTCAATGTTTAAATAATATAGCTTGTGAGTTTTTGATTATAATTTATTATATAATTTATAATATATACTAATTATTATTTATTATTTAATGATATAGCCTGTAAGTTACTTAATTATTTTTATATATTATTTATAAAATACATTAAATTTTGTATTTAAATTAATAAATGTTTGATAATATAGTCAGTAAGTTATATAATTTATTATTTATCATTTTTATTTGTATTATTATATAATATTTTAAATTTATTATTTAAAATTATTTAATATTTAAAGATATAGATAGTAAGTTATTTATTATTAATTATCATTTATTTATATATAATTTAATAATTTTATTAAATTTAATTTATTAAAATGATTATAAAGATGGTAATTTATTTGATTATTAGTAAAATATTTAAATATAATTTATAAAATATATTAATTTATTATAATTTAAATTATTTAATATTTGATATAGAACGTAAGTTATTTGCTTATTATTTATATATAATATATAAAATATACTAATATTTGAATTATATAATATTAAATGATATAGTCAGTTAGTATTTAATTTAGTTATTAGTTATTATTTATTTAAATTTTATATATAAACTTATAAAATTTATTATAATTAATATTTGATAATATAGAACGTAAGTTTTTGATTAATATTTATTAATATAAATACTAAATTATTATAATATTATAATTAATACTATTTAATATTTTAATTATATAGCTAGTAGGTTATTTATTATTAATAATAGTTAATTTAAATATAACTTATTATATACTAAATTTATTATATTAAAATTATTCAATATTTGATGATTTAGTTAGTAAGTTATTTGATTACTAACAAATATTTATTTATGTATATTTATAATGTATACTAAATTTATTATTTAATATTTGATAATATAGAACGTAAATTATTTAATTACATATTATCATTTATTATATAAAATTTATAAATTATACTAAATTTAATAATTTAATAGTTAATGATTTAGAATGTAAGTTTATTTTATTATTAATTATTATTTATTTATTTATAATTTATATTGTATATTAAATTAATTATAATTATTATTGTTTAATATTTAATAATATAGATGGTAATTTATTTGATTACTAATTAATTAATTATTTATTTATAATTTATATTATATATTAATTTAATTATTATTATTTAATAATATAAATGGTAAATTATTTGATTATTAATGATCATTTATTTTTATATAATTTATTAATTTTTATAAATTTAACTTATTTGAATATTTAATAGAAGGTAATTTATTTAATTACTATTATTATTTATTTAAGTATAATTTATAATATATACTAAATTTTTATAATTAACTTTATTTAATGTTTAATGATATAGCTAGTAAGTTATTTGAATTATTAATCATTTTATTTATATTTAATTTATAATTTAAATTTAAATTTATATTATTTAATATTCTATGTTTTATAATATAGAAGGTAAGTTATTTGATTATTAATTATTGTTAATTAATTAATTATTTATTTATAAATTATATTTATTATAATTATATATTTATTTTAATATTATTCAATGGTTAATAATAGTCTGTAAGTTATTTAATACTAATTATTATTTATTTATATTTTATAATATATACTAATTATTATAATTTATATTATTTAATATTTAATAATATAGCCAGTGAGTTATTTGTTTATTAATTGTTGTTTATTTTTAATAATTTATAAACATTAATAAATTTTTTATTTTTAAAATTTTCAATATTTGATGATATAGGAAGTAAGTTATTTATTGTATGATTTTATAAATTTTAGATTTATTATAATTAATATAATTATCATTATTTCAACTGAATTTAATTTAATTATAGTTTGTAAGTAATTTATTTTTTCATTATATGAATTTATTTTTAATTATTTTTATTATGTTTTATTTACATATTTCAATAATTTTAGTAGGTACGTTGTATATTGTGTATTTTATTATTTATTATATAATTAAATAAAGCAAATTTTTTTTGTAAAATAAATAAATTATAATTAAATATAATAGAAGGTAAATATTTATATGTTTTATTTTAATAATATATAAAAAGTTAAAAAATATGAATTTATTATATAATAATAATTATTGCAAAATTTAAGAATATTATTTATTAATTTAATAATTAACAATAAAATAGAATTTGATATAAAAGATCATTTAAGCCAAAAAATTCTAGATTGGCACATTTCTATTAGTCCAAATGGAGAATATATCATTATATTTAATCATGGTAATTTAAAATTATTATTATTTAGATTATTATTCTATAAATTAATTCTTTATATTTTTATTATAGAAACTATGGAATTTAAGATTATTAAATATAGTCAATATAAAGAAATTGATAAAGCAAACTCATGTAAATTTGATGATAATCAGTTTGAAGAATATAAATCTCAATTTAAAGAAAATATATATATGTTAGCAATATCAAATAAATTTGAAGACAATTTCATTTTTATTGCAATATCTTATGTAATAGAAATGGATTTACATGTTAAAAAAGATGAATCTGTTATTGATATTGATGATCAAATCACTATTGATAATAATAAAAGAAAGCAACATTTGAATGGAAAAACAGTTATTTATAAAGTAATTTTAGATTCATCTAAACAAGAAAAAATTAAACCATACAAAAAAGAAGAAATTGGTGGAATTGTTTCTTTTGTTCATGAGAAAAACAATTTTAGTAAAGCAGATTGCTTTATTTTTAATGCTAAAGGAATATATAGACTTTCACTTTCTTTAAAAAATTTTGATTATTTCAACTATCCAAAAAGCCTTATGGATGAATTAGATACTTTATTTAAAAACAAATCTATTTTACGAATTAAAAATTGTATTTTTGATCATTATTTTTATATTGAGCAATATAGAGAAGGTATTCAAGTTATGCAATTATATGATTTAAGAATCATGCAAATACAACAGATTTTTAATATATACGAAGAAAAAAATTATTCAAATAAAAATAGCAAATCTATATTAGCTATTTCAGAAAATGAGCAAATAATTGCCTTTTCTTCTGGATATAGAAAATTAGCTCTTTATTTAATAGAAAATGGTCTAGAAATTATTCATAAAGATTTTGGAAGAGATACAAAAATAATTGCTTCTGATTTTAAGGATGATAATAAATTAATGATAATTATTAAAAAAGCTAAACATCAGGAGGTAAACATTTTACTTTGGAATTTATATACAAATGAATATCAATATAATATTCCATTAAACAAAGTTGATATTAGTATTTTTAATAGTGCAAAAATTCCTGGTAAATATGTATCTGTTAATAAAAATGGAAGTATATTATCGATATATGATAGTTTACATTCATTAGTTAGCATGAAAGATGCAAATAATCCGACACCAAAATTTATAATATGCAGAGATGGTAAAGTACCAACTGAAATGAACGTATTAAAATTTGATAATAATATTGTTTATCATCAAGATCTTTCAAAAAAAGAAGCTCAAATTCTTAAAGATAATATAGAACCATGGACAACAGATAATTATGAAAAGATATGGGTATATCTTGACCTAAAAGAATCAATGCAATTATATATTGGAAAATATACTATTCAAATATGGTGTAAAATTGAGCAAAAAGAAAATTTCGTTCTTAAATATTTTTGGGCTACTGAAGATTATAATTTACGAATATTCGAATTAGATATTTATGAAAATGGTTTTTCTCTCAAGTTAGAAAATAACATTCAGATTAAATGGTTCTATAATGATGATGATATTAATTTAATTAAGCATGCTTGCGATTCCCTTGAATATCTAAATTATCAAAGATATAAATTAATTGGATTTGAAAATCAGCATGGTAATTATCAATTCATATTATTTATTTTAAAAAAGTTTTTTTTAATAATTTTTTACATTAATATTTTATATTAAAAATAGTATTCGAGGAAATTAAGTATAATATTTCTCTTATAGTTTGGAAATTTATTAGAAATTATCCGAATATTTGGAAAGTGTTGGATATTCATTATAACCTTATGGCAAAAATTATAATTGGTGGCACAAATACTCTCATTAAATTTATTCTATTTGGCGATGAAAAAGTAAAACTTAAATATTTACATATACCAAGAATATCTCGATGGATTAGTTCTGAAAAAATTACTAAAATAAATGATAATTTGAAAAAACCTACAAAGGAAAAAATTAATTTAAGTAAATTCAGTGATTTACAACTAGCTATTAAAATGTGTGAATCAGGAGGTAATTCCATTATTTAAAAATTTACAAAATTTAATTATTTAATATTAATAAATAATTTTTTATAGATATTGAACGTAACCGTAGAATTTTAATTGTTACTTATTTACTTGAATATTATACAAAAAATGCAATTGAAAATCATGGATGGTTAATTACCATTTCAAAAGCATTACCAGATTTATATACATTTAAATTAGGTTTGTATTATTTTTGTATTATAATTTTTTTAAGATCATTTTTAACTTTTTTATTTTATTTTTAAATAGAGTATTTTGTGAGCGAATTATTTTACAAAACATGTATGGAAGGTATAGAAATATCAAATATTATTGAATATATGGATTTTATGCCTAAAAACTTTCATATTATTTCAAAAAAGTTTATAGCATTTAAACCAAATTCGAATTTTAAATCGACAAGTGTACCAGGATTTAATTTTACAGCTTTAAGAAATTATGTTAAAATTTTTTCCAACGATCATGAAAACTATTTTCCGGTTGTAAAAATAGTTCCTTTACATAATTTTACTGTTAATAGAATATCTCAAAAAACTTATGACTATGAAGGTTCATTTATTATCAAAATATTGAAACTATTATTTATTCCTCGAGGTTATTTTATTAATAATTCAGATATTGCAGAAAATTTTTCACAACTTAGTCCATTTGTTCAAATCGTTAGATTAGAAAGTAATGATGACATATTTAATAATCCAGTAATGGAAGCTGTAATTAATTACAAATGGCGTCCGGCAAGAAATTATTTTCTTCGACTTTTCTTTATGTATATTTTATTCGCAGCTTGTTTTGCAACTATTTGTGGAAATTACGTTGCACATTCTGAAATAACAGGAATCCATTGTAATTTTTTATTATTCCTTTTAATTCTTTTCTATTATTTAGGATGCTATTTATTAATTGTAGAATATACACAGTTTAGACATCGAGGCTGGAGATATTATATTAATTTATTTAATTGTACAGATTTAGCTTCAACTATCTTGGCAATTTTTGTAATGTCATATTGTGTTATTCCTTCATTTAATACTAAAAACGCTTTTGCTAATACTAAGACCAGCCAAGAAAATACTATTGCAATTTCTTTTAGTATACTATTATTGTGGTTTGAATTTGTATGTATCTAGCAATTTTTTTTTTTTTAAAAAAATTTTTAACTGAAAATTAATTTATTTATCAAATAGATTTTATATCTTCGGTTATTATCAGGTAATTTAGAAAATTTACTTTGATGTTTATATTAAATATATTTAATTTCTACAATAATCGTTTCTTTTAGAACCAGCAAAATACATCTACATTATGTTAAATATTATTAAAGAGACTTGGATATTTCTTTCTTTTATGATTCTTGTAATGGCAGGATTAGCACATAGTTTTTTACTATTATTACAATAT